CTAAAAAAACAATGGCAATTCTGTTACAAGTGCAGAGGTTTTATTCTTCTCATTTCTGGTGGAATACAGTATACCCAGTTGTATGTACTATCCATGGGAATTCTTTATTTTGGTCAGTGTTTCCTTATTCTCCCATCCCCCCCAAAAAAAATTGCATGCAGAACAACTAAAGCGATTGTCCTGGGTAAATGCATGGCAGCTTCTGTGGTATGAAATTTTGTGCATATTACAAATGCATTGTAACGTCTTAAGCTATTTTATCGACCACCACGAAGTTCTGAGAAAAAGAATAACTTCCTCAAAAGTTCCCACGGACAGAGTATTTCTTAACGAATTCTTGCAAAGAGGAAGTGATCAGCAGTCACAAAACAATCTCAGGTTTTCGTTTCTCTTATAGTTGTTCGAAGGGAGACATTGTACCGTTTCCTTTCATTAGTTTATAGGTTCAGTGTCTCAGACCACCCGGTTTGAGTTCACATTTGGAACCGAAAAGTTCTCATGGACTTTTTCCCAGGCTGTCTTCATCATTTCCAGTTGTTAATTAAAGTGCTATCGCCAATTAAGAGGCACTTCTAAAAATTACAGACAAATGAGGATCCTGGGATTCTTTCCAACACGCCCAGAACAACTTGAACAAAATCATGGAATGCAGTTCCAGAGAGAGAGAGAGCAAGTGAGAGTGAATTGCAGTAAGTAGAGAGAGAAACCTTTTCTCAGTTTTTCCAGCTCGGTTACGAGCAAATTTTATTTTCGCTCTCCGTAGGGCAATATTGGTACCTCTGCCTCTGATTACAGTGAGGTAGCCGAGTTCGCCGCTACTTTACGGAGGAGCACCCCACTCAGAACCAGTTCAGTCCACAACCACCGGCTTAGAGATTCGATTAATTCAACACAGCCTCATCTTGAACTATTTCCAAAGAAGAACTTTCATCTTGGCTGAGTTCTAAACAGGAACTTTATTCACACCATCTGGAACTGGTTATATTTCTTTTTGTTCCCCTCCCCTACTGGGGAACAATATTTTATGAGTTTATTTATTTTTATTTGTTTTTGCATATAGCCTAGAAAGAACCCAAATTAATTTATTTACGCTACCTCTTGTCTTTCGAATTCATCACAGCATTATTTGCATTGGTTACCGATGATAGCTCATTGTAATATGAATGCACTGCCTGAAAGGATTTTCAGCATTATGCAGAAGAATCGAACTCAGTTTATACAAAATTTATCGCAGTGAATTTACATCTTGTGCAGATTTATTTACTCACAACACTATTTGTTATTAAAATAAATGTATCCATGAAGAATTGGAAGCAGCAAAATGTGCAGCAAAGTTGACCTTGTCAGGTCAAACAGTAACATGGGAAAATATATCTTAATTTTTTATTTTTTAACCTTTTGTTTCTTTTATAAAGCTGTAAGTAATTTGTGTTTTATTAGGTGTAACATCCAGTTTACATTGTTAAACCTCTTCTCTCCAATCTCATAGTTCTCAAGTGTTGTGATTATAATACCATTAAGTATTATTAATAGCATTCCTCAAAGATTGGCATCTAATATTGTTTTGTGTCTCTTTCTCATTGTGAAGCTTAGATCTATATTAGTTTATTACACTTAGAGCCTTATTAATTTGTTACTTAATGGTATTGCTTCTTTTGTACAAACCGAAACATTTGGATCACCACATCGATCTTTACAGAGTGGAAAGTGGAAGTCTTTGCATCCTGTGCCAAAAAATGCCTGATAGCGAAAGATTTGCCATTGAAAGCTGTGTTTTGTGTGATAATATCCTTGGTCATCTCTAAAGACCTGGAGAAGGAACTGGTATGGCTTAAGTATAATTCTAATGATCCAGTACTTATCTCCCAAAACAACTTCTCTGTTTCAACCAATGGACTGCCAGTTTGAAGACACTACTCATAATAGCTGTTTTGAAATTGATAATTTTTTATCTGACACGATATCTAGAAAATTCTGAAAGGATGATTTCAATCTTGTAGACGTTATCAGACTATTGCAGACGGAATATTTCGAAGTCAAAGGATCTTCAGCTGAGTTTGGTGAAGTTTATTTTCTGCATATGTGAAAGGTGAACAGTGGATGATAATTGAAGATAGAGGAGATTTATGATGGAGATTGTTATACCACAGCAATGGAGTGGATGAAGTGAATCAAAATGAGTTCACAACTGAAGAGCTACAAACTCTGCAAATGGGGAAATGAGCATGCGAAAGCCCAAAGGAAAGTTTCTTCTAGTGTGAAGGAGAATCCAAAGAGACTCAACCCACTGCAGACATCGAGAACCTTCTGAAAGAAGTGTAAAGAAGTCATAAACATTGCCAGGTAATGACATCCTAATCAAAATGAGATGAGGAGATTGATAGATCTGCTCAATAACAGTGTGCACTACTCTAAGACACTTCAGACAATTTTGTGAAACTTGGAAGAATCAAATTATTGAAAGCCAGTGTGTGAGAATATTGAAAAATTTTCTATTTTCAGTGGGAAACTCAAACTGAGCTAAAAAATCTGCAAGACTAGATATGTACATAGTGTATTTATATGAGAAAAGCATCCTGCTTAGCAGTGACTTGCATACTGAATATCCTCCTGGAGTACACTGTCTTCATTATACCAAGCTTCATTATACCAAGATATTACCGTAATTATCTTCTGTATGTAAAATAAAGATTGCTTAGAACATAGGCTTTGTAATCCTGTAACAAGTACGTGAGGTTGCAAACTGATTAAGATTTCTAATAATATTTTGCATTTCTTAATGAATCACCTTTTGTAAACAAATTATTAAAATTATTATAGATGAAGGAGACACTATTCATTTGAACTAAATAAAACTCTAAACCATGTGTAAAAATCATACCATTTTCTCAAATAATTCTTTTTTTTGGGGGTGGGAGGAAATCACAAGAGTGACTGACAGTTGTAAAATATTTGTACTTGCTTTCTGCATTTGATTCTAAAAATAGAATTGGCTGGAGTTTGAAGTTTTGCAATTTTTTGCTTAAATGACAAAAAATCATATTTAGACTGTTTATTTGCATGTATTAGTTTTTATTTATTATTTTAAAACATGATCATGCCATTAATCAAATGATGACCACCAAAGTTTTTTATAAGGTATCACTAAAGCATTCTGACATTTTGTTATGTTCTGTTTCATATATATATCATGTACACTTAGAGTCCCAATAATGTGATATGAATGAAATTGAGGGGGATGGTTGAATAATTGGTAAATGTCAAATAAAATAAAGATGCTGAGATTGGTTATTAAAATAGAATTTCTGAAATCATAAACATTTTGTTTTTAAAGCTGGTGTAATAAAAGGCAGGCATAATTGCTATACATGGAAATCAGCCAATAAATTTTTCATGCCTATAATAGTAAAACAACCTTTGAAAGACTGGTCTGCTATAATGTGGTACACTGTATAAAAACTGTACAACAGCAAAAAAAGAAAAAAAAAATATGTATTAGTCATATGTATGTGTGGTATAAATATATATGTATATTTATATTTGCAAGCATTAAATATATATGTATATTTATACCATAAAAATATGTATGTGTGGTAGTCAATTAAGAAAAGTAATGTACTATGTTAAGTTAAACAAATTATTTAGCAAGTAAAGCCAGTTAATGTGTATTCTCCAGTGTTACTACTCCAATAATATAAATTTTGAGTATGAATTTATTAGTTAGATAAAAAGAAGAATATCAGATAATAGAAGATCATGCAGTTAGAACTTAATTATACTAGGATTGCCTTCATTGATTTGTGAACTAAATGTGTAGTTATAATAATAGTCATTATTAATAAAAATGATAATATATTTGTCATCATATTCATCCAAATTTAGTGTGCAAGTGTATTTGCTATTGTCCATATGTGAATTTTTGCAAGCATTAACTTGTGAGAAGACCTAATTTTCAAATAACTATAATCCTATACTAACTAACCACTAACCCATCTAACCCATAAAACTTGTACTCAAACTGTGGTTTGTGACCAGGGCTGTAAAATTGTTTTTTGGGATCGTTTGCATTATTATGGGGTCGCACTGCTGTAAAGTAAATCTGTAAAATCACCTCTAATATAAACTGTAATTCCATTCTGTCTGTTATAACTCAACCCTATGCAAGAATGCTAAACATGTTTTTCACTAATATTATTTCTTTTCTGATGAAGGCTTAGAAAAGAAAAAATTGGGGAGGATTTTCCCCCTTAGTTATTCTGGATTTTATTCTTTTATCTTTATTAGCTGTTTTATAAGAATGCTATAAATCATTATTTTTCTGAAATAAAATAGAATAAAATGAAAGCAAATGAGCTTTGAAAATAGAGATAAAATTGTCAAAAGTAGTCATTCTAGAAATTTAAAATACTTTATTTGTAATTTTCTATTACATAAGACAAACCTTTAACAATTTCTTGCAATGATTTCTGTCCGCTGTTAAAAATCATTTTTTGATTTTCAGCTATTGCCAACCTATATCTCACTAGATGTTTTTTTTTTAAATAATTAAATTAAGAATCATAGTGATATATTTTTTTGCATTATGAGATTGTATTGCAGTTTTAGTTTTTGCGGTGCAAAAATTACTGCACATGTTCAGATATGCATTTTATTGTGTCTTGATTATTCATTTACTTTCATTGTTTATTTACAATAGCTGTGTCATTTTGCAATAAGTTTCTCGATGTTTATAAGGCATTTCATTGTATACTTTGAATTTGTTCATGATATAAAGTATTTAATTTATTTTTGGTATGTAGCAGTAAGCATTGCATGTATTATTTTTAGAAGATTATAGAGTATTTTTTCTGAAAGAATACCTCAGAATAACATATTAAATAATTTATAAATACTTCGGTATTTCTAATGATTGGCTTGACTGTGTATTCTATTTTGTCAATTTATAATTCTAAATAAATTCTATTTTAGTGATTTTGTTTATTGTAATTTTTTCCCTCTAAATTTATATATTAAGCTGGTACAAACTCTACCGTGGAAAGCTCCCCCCGTGATTGATGCTGAATGGAAACGACGTGTTGCACATGACATGCTTATGAGCCTCAGTGAATCTCGGCTTGCTCGTTCTATTTGTTCACAGTTCAGAGAACGATTAAAAGCTTCTCACGACCAGTTTGCTGCTTCTTTGCGTCATCTCGAGGCAATGCATTCTGGCCGATTAGAACGCACCGAAGAGCAACGCTTAAAGGTAAATTCAGAATTTTGTTTAGCTCAATTTTTACTTTTGTATTAGAAATTTGATTTTTAAACATACTGAAAAAATTTGATAAATTTATCTTAAATATAATTATTCTGTTGCCATATTTAATGCCTTTTGCAATGGCCATTTTTATTTAAAGATGTGTAAGGTATTTCTTTTATTATATTAAAAGACAGTCTGTTTCCAGGCAGGGGAGAAACAGTGAATTTTAATACTACTTTATTTTTATATTTAATGCATGCAAGACGGTTTCGGCAAGTCGTATAGCTTAACTTTTAGTATGACTGTGATGCAGTTTCACATAAATCATAAGCCATATCTAATGTCATTTAGGGTTTTACAATTAAATAAGAATAGCCATCATAATCTTCAGAGATTTAAAATTCCTCACATGAATAATTCCATACCTCCAAATACCTCCAAAGAATAGTAACAATAATTCAGATGGAAAGGTTGCTGAAATGATGAAATTAGTTTCTTCTACTATACACTGAATTCACAGATGACTTACGCACAATCAAGTCCTATGTTATGACCAGTATTCAGTAGACTGATAAGAGTGGTGGTCATATCTAGAATTTTTTTCCTATGTCACGCCTCAAGTACCGTCATTCCACGAAAACTTTGAAGATTAATCCTTTTTTAACTGACCATATATGGCTATATATGCCAAATCTCTACTAAGACAACAGTGTTATATCAGGCTTGCATACTGCTGAAAGATGGGAGAAATTTAGAAAATAATTTAGAATATTTGTTTAGCCTTCAAATTTGCATGCCTGAAACCCAGTAAAGTATTTCTGTAATGTTCTGGAAGGGAATGTGAGAGTTGCTGTAGTTGATACAATATTGAGAAACTTGCAGAATTTATTACTAGCTGTTTATGAGCCATGAATATGTATGATGATGTGCTAGGAAATATTAGATAATTTTATTTTCCTGGTGTTCTGAATTCAGTCTGTAATGCTAATTTTAAAACACGGATATCAGCATAATTCAGGTATTATTGAGCAAAATATTCAAGATTGTAAAAGCTAGATGATATTTAAAGGAACAGCATAGAATGCTGTTGATACAATTTGAGGCAGCTTTTGTATTTTGCATATATATATATATATCATAATTAAAATTGTCATTTTTGAATTAGCTGTTATTTATTATCAGATGTTACATATGCTGTTTTTTATTTACTAGATTCATCAGTATGCTGTTACATTTATCCTTATAATGTTACTTGCAGAATTTTATTAAATAATTTGAAATTCTATTATTATGTGTATGCCTGTTGGAGGGGACTGTTTTATTGAATTATATACGAACCATTTTGGTCCAGTACCTCTTGTCATCCTGGTAGCATCATGATTTCCATACACATAAAAATTCTAATCTTTTTTTTACAAAAAGATGATCCAAGTGATTTTTGACATCCTCATTTGAAATAAATGTTTTACTGCATAAAATTTTTTGTAAAGAATAGAACACATAATAATAATCTGATGGTGCCAGATCTGGTGAATATGGTGAGTGTGGTAGCACATACCATCCAAATTATAATAACTTCTGACAAATTACCAAACTTGTGTAAGGTCTGGCATTATCATGGTGAAACAGTACACATTTTTCTGTTGATCAATTCTGGCTTTTTCTGTTTGATGGCTTCACTCAGTTTGTCCAGTTAGTGATAGTATGCTTTTAAATTGATTGTGTGATAGTCTGGTAGAAGTTAAAAAAAATGTTCCTCTTAAAATCACATGAAATGAAGAGCATAATATTTAAAAAAATAAATATTGGCTTTCGAAGTGCTTTGAGCTGCTTGATCTCTTCTTCATTGCTTGCATTGAAAATCGTAATAAACAATTCATTTATCATCCGCAGTTATGATTCATTTGAAAAGTGGATTATTTCCTTGATGTTAGCAAAGCAAACTATGGATTTTAATGCAACAGAGCAGATGTTTCTTTAAGAATGCATGGAACCCATATATTAAGCTTTGAATTGGAACCATGTCATTTCCCATTATCATAAATGGTTGAATTTGACAAATTTAATCCCTGAGCGATTTTGTAGATGTTCAAGAAAGAGTAAAAATACTAATTAAAAATAGAACTCATTCCTATGGGTGTAAAAAAGAAATTACTTTCTGAATAGTCTAATAATATATTAAGCCAATTTTCTGTTTAGGTATAATTAATTTGCCCTACATTAAAACTTTTTTGCAGGGGTAGAATTGAAATGTGTATTTTTAATTTTAATATTTTTTTGGAAAATTTTAAAGAATTTTTGTGTCTGTTTCGTTAAATATTATTTATTTATATTTTTAAAGGTTCGCAAATTGCATGCACCTAAATTGGCAAAGTTCGCTCTAGAAAGTACTTCTCTCAGGGATATCATACTGTATGGTAAGTTTGTGTTTCTAGATATTTTGTAGCAGCATTTAAGGCTATTCCATAAGTAGTATTAGATAAATCTACTGTATAGTCTGTCTACTCTTTGTGACTTTTCTAAGAGAGAAATTAATCCCACAATTTTTAATCCCATTTTCAAAAATTCTCATTATAATCAGTTTTAGTATAAGTAAACCTTGTACAATTTTTTTGATATCGTGTGTATGTAAAAAATTGTCAAGAATTTCCTACCCCTATTCTTTTAAAAATAACTATTAGAGTTATTGTGTATAAAACTTGGTCATTATGCTTTATACTTCATATCTCAATTACCGAAATATTTTGCTGTAGAATTTTCTCTTTAATAAAATTACATATGCAGATTTGAGAAATAGTTGGGTGCATGATTAGAAATTTGTTATGCAAGATTTTTTTAAATTAAATTTTAGCTTAAAATTTTGAGGCTGAGTAATTTCATTTATTGCTTTCTTAAAAATGGTATGAGTTATACATTCTAGAATCTCATTTGATGGATTACATATTTTTATTACAGGCATGCCTCAAATTGGACGTGAAATTGGTCGGGGGCAGTATGGAGTAGTGTATTCCTGTGACTCTTGGGCCGGATATTCTCCATGTGCTATAAAATCTGTAGTTCCTCCTGACGATAAACACTGGAATGACTTAGCAATGGAATTTTATTATACCAGGTATGATTTTATTAAAACACATTATTTTAATGTTTTAATCTTTTATAAAAATTGTAGTTGTAATGTTAAAATGCACCATATATAGCTCACTTCGTTAAAAAATTTCAAATTTTTAATCGTCATTTTGAAAATTCATTTTTTCAATTATTTAAAAAAAGTGTCCTTTTCATTAATATTTTTTAATGCTGTGAAAGAGGTAAGGTTTTATAATAGGTAAGATTTTTCACTCATGCATAGAAATTATTTCTGTATTTCATATTTTAATGATGCTAAACACAAATTTTATGTAGGAATTCACATTTATTTTTATCAATTTTTTCACATTACAGGAAACCTCCATTCATGGATATGACTTATTACTGTAGGCTGTTCATAAACCGAAAACATTTTTCACATAGGAATTAATGTGTAATGGATTACTTTGTTCTTGGCAAGTTCGTAACACAAACATCTAAGAAAGTATTACATCTAAGAAAAAAAAAAAAAAAAAAAAAAAAAAAAAAACAGTGTTAAACTGATAAAACAAAGTGACACTTCATTTTATTTTACTATATCTGTATGAAGCAAAATAAATGACATAGTGCAATGTTGAGGAAGAGATGCTTCCCTTTCTGTAAAAACATTGGATATCTTTTCCTAGGACATCTTCTTTCATCTTCCCCCTCCCCAATTAGCACCACTTAACTCTGCTTGATACTGAGTGGGACTTTCATTCAAAATTTATTCCATGTGATTTATTGATGTTTTAAAATGTTTACAAAGTGAATTAGGCATTGTCATATCAAGTGTATGTGTTACTACTCTATTAAAGTGTGACAAGTAAAAACTTTAAAAGAGAAATAAGCAAAAGATTAAGTGAAAACTTTCCATTTTTTTCTCCTTTTATAAAAATGTTATAAGTTAAAAAATTTAAGATCATTTTTGTTTCCTTCCTCTTCATCAGCAGGCATTTCTCCTTCACAACCACTTTTAGATATGGCTTCTAAAGTTTCTGCAAGTCTTTCTTGCTAACTCCAACTTTATGGTCCTCAAGTAACTCTTCCACACTTTTGTTGACTTAATTGGAGAACACTTCCACACTTTTCCACACTTTTGTTGATCAACCCTAAGCCAAGAGATACAGTATCATAGATAATAAAAAATGTGCAAAGTGTCAAAATCCTCCAAGTTTTCTGCTTGCAACACATTCTGACCATAATTTCCACAGGCCATGTTCAGAGTTCTGCAAATCACTTGCTGCCAATTTTACTTAATGACAGCTAACTAATGAAAAATATTAAAATGATGTTTCAGGTAGTCCCTGAGTATTAATTTTGTACCAAATGTTACCTCTGAAGACACTTGAAAATAATTTATTGCTGACTTCATGTTATTCATGTGAATGACTTCTATTAAAAGATAATTGTATAATTTTAATAGATAACTTAGCTATTATTTTACTTTTATCTTAAATTATAAAATTTGGTAAAGTATATATTATTAGTTTTAAAAATAGAAAGATGAATGATAATTGTCAATAGTGTATTCCAATTTCTGTGATTGTCTTTGCATGACTAGAATGTATATTTGCTATCTTGTATTTCCCCCCTTGAAAACTGACATTTTATTAAGTCATCATGTTATTTTTCTGATAAATTAAGTCATAGATTTTTATAAGAGTTTATTAAACATTAATTACTATTTAACGATGATACGTTCAGAAGACATATTTCAGATTATTTTTTAGAAGAAGAGCTAGGGTTCGAATCCCGGCAGAAGGCATGCTTGTAGACGTCCCTTCATAGGAAGGCAACAGTGCCTGCCTGTTAGATGAATAAAATAGCCGCCATTTTGACCTTATGCCAAAATGGCCTTAGGAGGGGCCAATGCTGAATAGGCAAGTGTCCACCATTGGATTGAAAAAAAAAAAAATTTTTTTTAGAAGAAATCATGTACCTAATTAAATTTCTATAATTAAGTGCAAGAGAAACTTTTAAGGGGGGAAGTATAAACTCCCCAGAAAGCTGAAATAAAAATTGTAAAACAAATATTACTTTAACTCTTTAAAATGCTTATTATTGCTTCTGCTCTTTTTATTTCCTTATACAAAATAAACGAAGTAATGTAATAAAAAAAAAGGTATCGTATTTCAACAGAAATATCCATTTTTGCCAGCTGAATCTATTTGGAAATTTTTTTTTTTTACATCTGTACGCACGGACAGGATAAAGAACACTTTTCCCCTCCAAAATCGGTTTTAAAATCGTTTTTTTTTTTTTCTTTTCTTTTCTTTCATGACATCTTGCATAGCTCAAAACTTAGTGGTAGACCACTGAAGTTTTGTGTATGGGACTGCTATAACATTCAATTGTACATCTGCCTTTTTATTGCAGTCAGCAGTAACAAACATACATATAGATACCCACCCCCCTTACTTGGCCTTTATTTTCACAATCATCAGTTGTACTCATATTCTCTAAGTTATAAAAGTGTTTTAAATGACAAAAATATTTATGTTATGGCAATGACGAATTAAAAAAATAACTTTTGATTAATAGAAAAATGTAATTTTTAATGCAGTCTCCGAGTTCCTATAAATTATATTTGGGAAAGTTCTATTCTTGTTATCAGAAAATAAAATTATAAGAAGTTTGACTCCTTTACAACAAAAATTGACTGGGATATTTAAAAATTTGCAATTTTTGATGTCCTTTCAACTTGCTTGAGGGATTAGCCAATTAAATTAGAATAATTTGAGGAAATAAGTTTAAAAGAAGTGCGGCAAAAAATTGTGTATAACTTAATAGGCCATATAAGGGAGTTATGTGTCCTCATCAGATTTTCTTCTTTTCTCTTTTCTTTTTAGGATGGATAATGTGTGAAATATAAGTTTTTAAAAATGAATGAATTCAATTGGTAATGCAAGTCATATTAATGTCCTGTTTTTTTTCATTTTGATGCATTTTATATTATTAAACAGAGCTTTGAATGAGTAAAAAAACAAGCTTTTGGCACTGGCATGTTTTTAAACTGAATAATAATAGCTGAACCCAGGAACAGAAATATATTGCTTTGTAATAAATGTAACATAAAATTATTTGCCAAAGTTTTATCAGAATCTTACTTTTAATATATCAGTCAAGAACAAAAGTGTAAAAATACTAATAGTTGTATATAACATTTTATTATTTGCATTTAATTAGGCTCAAAATGCTTCCTGATGATTTTATTGTATGCCATATGGGTCTGATCCAGTACTTGTTAATCTGCTAATGATGTATGAGTTTTCCAGTAATAAATATTACTGTCTATTTTATAGTCATATTTTGTTTTACTGAATGTTGGATAAATGCATAAACTGTTTATTTCTCTGATCGTAACAATTTAATTATTTTTCCAAAAGGAGCATTCCAGAACACGATCGTATAGTACAAATTCGAGGTTCTGTTATTGATCTGACATATGCTGGTGGGAGTACACCTGCTGTCCTCTTAGTCATGGATAGGTTGCAAAGGGATCTTTACTCTGCTTTAAAAATGAGTCTGCCATGGAAAAATCGTTTGCAGGTAAACTCTTTTCCTAATTTACGTAATGTAAAAGATTCACAGCTTCATAAATCAATAAATTATTATAGTGCTAATAAATTATTCAATATTTGAAGATGATGGGAGACTTGTACTGTTTGCATAAAAAGAAATAAAATACCATATAAATTAAAATCATTATTTTTTAGCATAAATATTTTATTAGAGAATTTAATAATTTTTCATATTGGATTTCTCAATTTAATTCCTCCCCTCAAAAACTGATGGTTAACTTGAATGTTTGACCTGTAAAAATGTAAATATTTTTTAAAAAATTGCTGTAAAATATACAAAGAATTTCTACAGCATGAACTGAGTTTATTTGAAAAGACCTTTCATATTCCTGTATTAAGCATGTTAGTATTTATGGATTATTTTTCTGCTTGAAAAGATCTCATCGATTACATTCTAAAAAATTAATACTTTTCTACAAAACCAGTGTCAACACAGGTTGTTTTGCGTCTAATTTTATGCAAGATTTATGAGAATGAATTACGAGGTTTCACGAAATCTCTGTGAAGTATGTATTATACAAACTGGATTGAAAGTAATTTTATTTAACTCAGTCAGTCAAAAATATAATGAACAAAATCTATAAATTTCAATATGTATATTGCTAATAGCATAACAGACATCATAGTGATATTCATATTTGGTCTGCCCACCAGCGGCCGAGCGGTAAAGTCGCTGAACACTGTTAGTTTGGTCCAAGGATCGAATCCCGCAAACGGGCTGGCTGCATGGGCGTTTTCGTGGTTTTCTCCATGTGTAACGTATATACGAGCCAGTTTTCCTTAGAAAGTCCTCCACGAAGCAGGGTTGCCACGCTACCTGGAAAACCGGAAAAGGTCAGGGAATTCGGAAACTGACCAAAAAATTCAGGGAAAAGTCAGGGAATTTAAGTGTTTTAGTCAAAATCTGGAAAAGTCAGGGAATTTTATACAACGATCCCTGCCAAAAAAGGCGAGTTTTGCGCCGACGTTGGAAGAGATCACTTTTTTGGCGAATTGTGTATCATGTGAGTGTCATTCGGGCAGCTGGCATAGAGCCAATTTTCGCAGCTCCAATTTGATTGCCTTTTTAGAAAGGCAAAGCAAGTTTCCCACAACTTTTGGTTTCCAGTAACCTCGAGAATCGCATGTGCAGTGCATGAACTAAAGAAAGTACCTGTTCTCGTATAAAACAAAATGGGTTTAATCCTAGTATACAGTACCATGAAGGTTAGAATTAAAAAAATATGTATTATAAAGAAGGAAAACCTCTCTGCAACAGACGTGGCTCGGTTCCATCATAGCGGGAAACAGCTGTGCATGCACGATATATCTGTCGCCAAAGCTCGAAACCGGTGTCGAAGTTCGAAGGTCACGTTATCAAGAGTTCATAAAATTAATATCGTTTAAAATGTCTTTAAACTGTAAAGGAAAAGAAAATATTTTATGGCGCAAGTAAATTAATTCATGGATTAGTTATTTTGAGGGGAGGAAAATCTACGAAAATCTACGAAAAAAAAAAAATTATTGCGAAAACTTCAAGAACAAACGTTTCTTTTTGTATTTTTCGCAATAATTAAAAAACGGATTTTCGTAGTTTTCTTTTTTGTCAAAGAACGTTTCTTCTAACACGTGTTTCTCAATTTCCTGTACACATCGCGGAGAGGGAAATCCTGGCCGTTCCGTCGTCAAATCCCTTGGCAAATTTTCCCTCTGCTTTTTACATAGATGTTCTTTGGTGAGAATAATCTCCATGTATGGTACAGCGGGATTTGGCGACATGATGATGAGCAGTAAACGGGTCATTTTGTTCTTGGCGACAGTTTTCAAAATCATGGGAAGGCCACCATAACCGTATACTAGGATTTTACCGCAAAATCTTTTTTTTTTCTTTTCTTTTAAATAAATACCATTGTCATTTTGCAGTAAAATAAAAAATAGTAATCAGTCATCTAGGATAACCATGTAATATAATTATATTCGCTAAAATATTGTTTATTATTCTAATTAAATTTTTAAGTAATTATCTTTATTTTTATGTTATTCATATCATTTAATGTTGCTTCTTCCCTCTAAATTTATTTATCATTAGTAAATAATATTCCAAATTTCAGGAAATTTTCTCTGGCATAATTCTGAAATTAATTCTAGCAGTATGATGACATCACGAAATTTAATGCACATATTTTTTCCTTATGTATGCTGCCGAAAATAATTATAAAATACCTCAATTTAGTAAAAAAATTATCATTAAATAAATTTCTTTCTTTCGTTTAGCTGCAGAATGTCTGCAAAAAAAGCCTTATTTTATTCCAGATTGGGCAGATTCTAATCTCAATCTTCAGTGGAGAAAACAACTCCTAATATAATTATATTTGTGTTTTCAAGTGTTAAGGTGCCTTTTAAGAATACACCTCACACAAATTAAATTTACCTAAAATCTAACCTAACTTTTAGCATTGCGTTGTGATTTATAAGAACTGGATTAGCCTCGTGTTGAACTGGGGATGATCATGAGTAATAATTAAATAAAACACACAGTTGTTATCCAATGTTCTTAAATTTTATTAAGTTTTTTAAGCGGAAAAGTAAACAAAATTATCAAACAAAGTGAATTTGCTACACAGTACAAGTAATACCATAATTAATTTACCTCTTAGCACAGCCAACGTACATTATGCGGATAGACTGGAATTTTCTCGAAACATGCCTGGAAAAGTCAGGGAATTTCATTCTCCTGTTTGAGTGGCAACCCTGACGAAGGCATTCATCCCCTTAGGCAGATAGCTCTCAAGGCTTTGCCATAATCACACACACACACACACACACACACTCATATTTGGTCCATATAGATGTCAAGAACACCTGGTACTTATGATTATAACACAACCACGTCGGTGCAATCGGATAGTTTTTTACATATGAAAAGGTAAAAGTTATTTATCAGGTGCAAGTTAGCGATTTTCATGATATTCTTTAAAAAAAATTGAGAAACTGATGTTGTTTATCATAAGTGGGCATTCATTATCAACAAAAAATTTTTTGTGATATCCTTCTGTAATTTTTTTTTTTAGGGGGGCATTGTTCTCCTGACAGACAGATCAATCTGTTTCACCTTAAACAAAAATGGAGAGTTACACAAAGTTGGCTTTGTGTATAACCTTAGCGTTGCCCGCTGGCTATCTACTAAAAATATATCATCATTATTCCCTTTCAGCGATTCTGCAGCCAAACACTATATATTCCTGCAAAAATGTTACCTTGCTAATTCCGCAAGCACTTACTTTAGAATTGAGTGTAAGGCAAATAATATCACAGTTTGTCTATAAAAGTTGTTGTAACGTTGCCGATAACAGAACAAAAAAAAAAAAAAAAAAAAAAAAAAAAAAAAAAAAAAAAAAAAATAGTGAGATTGCTTTATTGTTATGAGCATAGTTGCCCGAGTTGGGCACATTTTGATAATTTGACTACTAAGGAAGTTGTGATAATATGTAAGTACCAAACATCTAATGTAATGTATTGCAGTCGTGTTATTTTCTCTTTGATAAAGATTATCAATTATTTCAGTTTAAATCTCAATTTTGATGAAAGACCAATTTAGGAAATACAGAATGAGATCAAGATTTCTTGTGGATTGTGGGACAGATTCATGTCTACCGGTCCACCATCCTTAAAATTAATGCTTCCATTTGATGAAACAAAAAGATCTGTATTATGCCCAAGTATACAGTGTAGTTAATATTATTTTCGGTAATGAAATAGGATTAAAGCTAATTACTTGTTAAGCTGTAGACATCAACTTTAAAAGAACTCAGATGCATTCTGTGTCAAATGCAGATCTGTAAATCCATCCTCTGTAGCAAATTATACAACTGTTTGTATGAAATGTTGCTTGAGCCAGTACAAACTGTGTACATAACACATGCATGTAATCTTCTTGCATGAATGGATTAAAGAAAAGCATGTTTGATCTATTTCATATAACACATACATCACAGAAGCTTCATAAAACCTCACCATTCTCTGCCACATATTTATAGACTTGAAGCACTGCATTGCTTTGTTGCCTAGAAAGATTAAATTCAAGATATATTGTTAGATCAGATACATTTTTAAATGTCTGCTCACTTTAAAAAATTATTAAATTTTTGTTATTTTTAAACAGGTTGCACTTGATGTCGTTCAGGGTATACGTTTTCTTCACGGCCAAGGTCTTGTACATAGAGATATAAAATTAAAAAATGTTTTGGTATGTTAATATTTGTTATATTTTTCCTTTGCGAGTTGTTTATTTATTCAGTTTTTATTTTAGAGTCCTTATAAAAAAAATCCAATTAAATTTTTTTGTTTCTGTTTCTGAATATAGTTAGACAAGCATAATAGGGCTAAGATCACAGATTTAGGTTTTTGCAAACCAGAAGCTATGATGTCTGGCAGCATCGTGGGTACACCAATTCACATGGCTCCAGAGTTATTCAGTGGACGATATGACAACAGTGTGGATGTATATGCTTTTGGGATACTTTTCTGGTACATATGTGCTGATCATGTAAGACTCCCATATGTATATGAACAATGCCAGAGTAAGGATCAGTTGTGGAATTCTGTAAAAAAAGGTAAAATACAGAAATTTTAATCCTTAAGAAAAATTCTTTTTCATTAGCAGACCATTTTTGTCATTCGGTTCTTTAATTTTGAATAAAATACAAAATGTATTATTTCAAAATTCATTAGTTCTATATAGAATGGTTAAGTTGTTTCCTGTCCAGTTGATGTATCTGATAGCATTTTTAAATGATACTGTTGTAACTAATCAGTATTTTCTATTATTCATCAGGAATGCCTTGTGTTAATTTGTTACTTCTGTAGTTAATAATTTAAAAAAGTTTCATTTCATGAATTTTGTTATCCCTCTAAATATGGCCAATGCATGTATTTTTTTTTAAAGATTCATTGATTAAAATTTTAGAAGATTAATGGTGTAATGCAGGGATAATAAAAAATATATGAAGCTATATATTAAACGAAGAAGATATTCATTGGATACACAAAATCATTGGTAATGAAGTCTCATAGCCAGACAGACAGGTTACATTATTTAAATATTAACACAGAAGACCATTTTTTATTTAGTGGAATAATAGTACAGATACTTGTAAAAATTATCATTTAGCTGTATTACAAATCACATGAATTGAGATAACTTTAAATTGCATTAGTTAGAGATATTATTGAAAATGAAATAAATCATTAGAAAATTACTGTATTACAAATCACATGAATCATTATTAGAGAATTAGCTGTATTACAAATCACATGAATTGAGATAACTTTAAATTGCATTAGTTAGAGATATTATTGAAAATGAAATAAATCATTAGAAAATATGTATATTACTTTTAAATTGCTCAGTATACTGTTTTAAACTGAAAGATGAAAATGAAGATATTATGGAATGTCATATGGCTACACTTCTTGAGAATTTTCAGTTTGCCAGGCCATGCATTCCTGGTAATGAAATGTAGCATATATAAAAGATGTAAAGACTGCCCTATAAATGCTTGGCTAATTTGATACTTCTGTAAGGAGCATTTATGGATACTTAATTTTTTTACAATTGTCTAGAAATAATTCAAAATATCCATTAGAATATGTAACTGTTTTGTAGGAACAATCATATATAAATTAGATAATAAATTGAATTATACTGCATTAAAATTTAAAAAAAAAAAAAAAGCTTGTCTTTAAAAAATTTCTGCGTGTTTATTAACCACTTGCGCTAAGAAAACTTGGCACGCACGTCGAGATGCTTTAGTCTCAAACCGTGTGCAAAAATGAAAATAACGTGGTGCACACGTCGCTTAACAACGAGATTGTTTATTTCTCCAGTTAAAGCTTTGGATTGCACTCGCAGACGAGGAGCAGCATAAATGAGACACTGTACCGCTTGTTATATTGTAGCGCATGGCACTGCAACTGTGAAGTTTAGTTGTGCGCAAGTGGTTAAATATGAACTCGAATTTTCATCAAATTTGGGTGGCAATATACTTTCCTAAATTTAGGGAAATTTTATGTGTAAACTTGAAGAACAAGAAGTTTTTGAATAATTTATTTTAATATTCCTAAATGTTTCAGTTTTTAAAAGTATTTAATTACATTTAAAATCCACTTTACTTTCCATATTCAAATGGGGATTGTTCCAATGAATTCTTGTGTCAGTAGCAACTTTATTTTTTCAGACATAACTACAGAAGCTTACCTTTTGATTTTCTTGATAAGTTTTCAGCAAAAATCAGGCAGAATGTATTCGTTTATTGCAATTTGTAGGATGTATTTATATTCATCTGTAGGATGTATTCATATTTTTATGAAAATCTGGTGTATGTCTTCTCTTATGTAAAAATAAAAAGTGTTATTATCTAATCACCACATGCTTAAATTCCATCGTAACCCCAGCTCCATCTATTTTGTAATCATAAAGAATGAACAAATTGGATGAAAACATAACAGATACTTCAAGCATGTGTACTACTCCGATCTGCAATGAAGATATAAGATTCTCACTTATAATTTTCTGGATAACAGAAATCCAGAAAATTATAAGTGAGAATTGCCAAGCTAAAAAATACCAACCTCTTGGTCAACGAGTACATTAACAAATACAGTAAATCTTTCATAAATACTCCCTGAAAGCATCCAAACTCAACAACATGCGAGAAAAAGCTAAAATCATCAGCAAACCCCTGTATAACCAGCATTAAAATCACAGAAATGCTAGAAATTGCCACTAGATCATATTAGAAGAGAGACTTTCCTTTCAACCTATCAAATAGCTGGATGCTGATTTTGAATACAAGAAACCTGTAAAAGCAATAAAAGTAGGGAAGCTTAATTGAGCCATTAATTTCAGCTCCATCCGGAAAAGCAGATGAGTCATCTATGAAAGCTCCTATTTTACTTATGTTTAAACATGATTTTAGCAGTCTAACACTACAGGTATACCGTATTTTCATATATTAGTTTGAGTTTATTTATGCAGTTAAGATTTATTTACACTGATGAATCCTTTTCTTATAGGAGCCAGACCTGAACGTCTACCTCAGTTTGATGAAAACTGCTGGCGTCTCATGGAAGACTGCTGGAATGGAGATCCTGCACGTAGGCCCCTGTTAGGAGAAGTGGAGCCTCGACTGATGGAAATAATCGATTACTACGAGCATAATCCATTACCAAGTGGGTTTACATCCTTCATTAAATCCAATTCTTATTCTAAGCGTAACAGGCGTGCACTTAAATCTAACACCCCACGCCGCCGAAACACCGCGCATCCGCACGCATGACTGTTGCGCTTGCCCGACAGCATAGTGATGTCGGACATTTGCCCGTTTTCTGAAATTTTAGGTGAAGTGTCGGCTAAACTCGATTTTCTTTCAGATAAACTTGTACCTAATAAGACTGATGCTTTAAGCTGATAGCAGTCACTTCTTTTACTAACAACTTAATATGCATATTTTTAAATTTTTAACTGTATAAAATATCTAAGTTTTTCTGCTGTTGTTTATGGTATTCATCTGTATTAACATATAACTTGCATTACTTTCTGGATCTCTGAAGAATTTCTTTTATTAGTTGTGGTGTAAGTGCTTCTAGCTTAGTGTGCTTTCTCTAGCTCTCTTCTGTACATGCAAGTAATGATATAAAATCGTAATAAAATATAATTTTTGTACAAAAATTTAATGATTTCTCCTCCATAGAACTTACAACCCCCCCCCAAAAATGTCTTCAATGAATTTTTAGATTTAATTTTCATGCATGTGTTTAGGAAATTTTCAGTTTTTGAGTGAATTAACGATTTATGTTAAACTTTATTATGAACATTAATTTACACTAAATGAAACAGCTGTTAAAGTTAGGATATTTCCCTTTTAAAATTGTTCATATTTAATAAAAGAGAATAATCATTTAATAGAATAACCAAGGATGTTGTTTTTAATATATTTTTTCATGTTTTAACAGTTTAAGAATTCATAGTGTTTGCTTTTGTGATGTCCTTTTTTTTTGTGTGTGAATTCTGTGTATGTGTTTGTTTTAATGTGTACTGATTGTGTCGATCCTTCCCTTGATGTGCTGTGTAGGCCGAGGTGTGGAGCAAAAGGAAGTTGCAATCCTTTCGACGAGTCCCTATATCAACTTGGAATTTGCCCCGACATAGTTTCTACTCTTCCTCGTTCTTATTTTCTAAGCATTTATTTGCTTATAATTGTGCCAAGTACAGCAGGAAGTTAATATTCCAAAAGATGACTTTTCCTCTCTTTATGCTGTCTTCGGTGCACTGGAAAACAAATGTGTTATAATTTCAGATAGAATGTGATTTTTGTTATATATAACATTGTTTATAATGTATTTACATAGTTTTGTAAAATGTTTATAGCTGTTAAAATGAATTTTTAAAATGTTTATAGAGTTGTAAATTGATGTAAAATATGTAAATATTATAGTGAAATTTTAGAAATCTTTTTGGCCTACAGATTGAGAAATTTAGCAATGGTAAGCAAGATCTGCAATTTATGTGATGAATTCTTGTAATCTATTTTGTAAAGTTTAATAAGAAAGCATACTATTTTCTCATGTACCTGTCTAATAACTGTATTTTATATAACTTTTTAATGCACTTTATCTAGAAGTTCAATCATGTACCATACTGTTTTTACTGTGTTAATTTCATAGCATTTTATAGTGTCATTGTATAAACTTCTTGTTATAGTTTACAACTATATATTATTAAAAAAATTAAACCTACTTTCTTTATTACATTGACTTCACAAGTAGAATCATGTCATAAATTGTTGACATATTGGTCTCACACATAAAATAAAGTGTTGCCATTTGTTGTAAGTAAAACACAATTAAATGCAAGGTAGTAAATATACTATATTTTGAATTCTAACAAATTTACGAAAAGTAAACATCTCGTGCTATGCACGAAATGAGTTCAGTCCACAATCATCTAATATATTATTTAGGTGGAACCCAAGGTTGAACTTTGGGTTTTGTTGTTGAATATGGCATATAAGCTTTGTTTGTTCCAGACATATTTGGAGTATGGTCCATAATCCATTTGTATTCTACAGGTTTTTTCACAGTTGGTGGATCATCTGTCATAAAATGTAACCATCGATGCCTAAAAAGTAAAAATTAAATAAGTTAAGAACTTTAGAAAATAAATAAATTAGTGATTACTTTAAATTCAACTATCATATATTTAAGAAAATTTTAAAATATTTTATTTCCATATCGTGTAGCAATTTAAAAACAAAATTACATAATTGAAAGATAAATTCAAAGCCAGAATCTAGCAACAATTTATAATATTCTAATACAAGAAATTATTTCAGTTTCAAAATGGTGTTAGATATTGGCAGTACAAAACTTTTTGCCTCAAACTAAATAAAAATGTTTCACAATTAGAGAAAAGTGATTTGGCAGATACGCATTTGATTTAGGAATTAAAAATTTGATTTAGAAAGAATTATTTCTTTTTACTGATTACTTAAAAGTATACAAAATAAAGCAATGGAGACGGTTGTACTATTTAAAAAAAAAAAAGACTTTATATAAATAAGCCATTCCTATTGAATGTGAAGGTTTTAAATGGATGAATACACTGTTTTCATCAAATACAAAATCTATGGGCATTCATGTGGCATGTAGTATTCAAAATTCTATTGTTTTTTCCTTCAGTGATTAATGTTGTCATTTTTGATATGGTAATATGTATGGTACGAATGTACAACTGAGTAAGAAAAGTCTCACATAAATGATCATGTTTCTCACATAAATGAATTTATGTACATAATATAAAGACTTCTGAAAAACTACAGACTATAGTGCAACACTTTAAAAGGAATTTAACATGTGGGAAAAAAAAAAAAAGTAATTTTTTCATTTCCAGAATGCGATATATTTTCAATAATGATTAATTATTACTGTTATTTTATCCCTTTTCCATTTTAGTGAGAAGTAAATGCTTATGTTTCCTCATAAGCTCGGTAGTGAAGACTTATTTGGAGGACGTATTATTTTTTGTACGTTATTTTGTTATGCATTCCTTTGTTTCCACATTTTTTCAGCAAATGTTTTTTCAGTTATAACATAGAATAATATATTAAAGAAATACATAAGATTGAAAGTATAGGTTAAAATTCTGAGGTTTAATTTACATTAAATTTTAGGTCTTTAAAAAAAGTTGAATTTACAATAAATTGGTTGAATTTACAATAGTCTCTTAATTGTCCCTTTTAATTTGGCTATTTTTGCTTTTTTGTCCTGAAAATAATAACTGCCTATAATCTCTCTAAACTGTGTCATTTCTTAAATGGTTATTATAACAAGTCAATCAGAATACATCAAAATTGAAACTCGTTCACTCTGAACTAAGATTTCATCCTGAACATATTGCATTTGCTTTTCTACTTCACGACTGCCAATTTCCTGCAGCCTGCTCTCTTCAAAAATATAAAAAGTTCTAGATCTAGTTTAAAAGTTCGTTTATCTGTATTAACTGCAAATATTTATGAGCGAAAATGAAAGGGAATGCTTAAATAGGACACAAATACGAACTTTTTTAAGCATCTACGATGTCAGGATTTTAAAATTATTTCATATTATAGATATATTTTTCCATATGTCACAAGATTTTATTTTTACTGTATAGTGAAGATTTTTTAACTTTATTAACTGATTAAAATAACAAAATCAAAGTGAGAAACAGCTTCAGTGGATGAAACATGCAAGGCTGATTGCATTACAGATGAATTCTTTTAACATCTCTTTCTTGAAATATTATCGATTTAATGTATTTCAGTTCTGTATCAAGAGAATTTTATCAAAAAGCATAAAGGAATTATTACTGAAATTATAAAAAAACTCATATATAAATTTATATATAAACAATCAAATATTCTCTTGAATTCACCTATTTCCACAAAAACTACTAGCAAGGAGCATCACTTTTAAATCATTATCAGGTAGCTTCAGCAAAGCCATTGATACAAAACAACTAAATCAAAAAAAGTCTAATTTCTTATTTTGAAATTTTATATTTTTTCTTATTCTGAAATTTTACAAAAACATACAAGACTTTTTACATTATTTCCCTTTCTTAATTTTATTTAAACAGTAATATATTTTGTAATAGTTTTATGTCATTTTATATGGAAAACGAGAAATCTGATGTTTACAGACTAAGCTTTTAACCCTTTTTTAAATAATCACGAATTCAGGCTACATGCAGTGTTATTAATATTCATCGTGCATTTTCTAATTTCATTACAGGAAACACTGATTCAGTAATTTAAATTTTAATAACAATAATAAAAATTGTCATAATAATATTTTTCCATTTTTACTATCAATTTCAAATGAAATTATGAATTTATAAAATGGATTTTGAAGCTTATTTCACCCAAAATGTGCTAAAAAAATAATGTCCACAAAAATTAGCAGTTTTAATTGGAAAAAAAAAAAAAAAAAAAAAAAAAAAAAAAAAAAAAAAAAAACTAGCTTGATCAAACAGGTCACAGCAAAGTAAATATTGTGTAATTCAAGAGACGAAAGAGTACTAATAACCAAAAGATTTATCATTATCTTAGTTAATTATTATAATTACAAAATATATAGTATATTACATATGTCAGTATACTGAAATATATAATTTTACTTTACAATGCTAGTAGTATTTTTATTTCTGTCTTCAATGCCAAATATAAGCTAATTATTCTCTTTAGTATGGAGACATGCAATGACTTTTTTTTTAATATATATTTACTTTAATCCTAATTCTTGATGGGTTATGAATTTTAAATGATGTACTAAAACATGCATCTTGAAAGCTTAAAAAAAATTACCATTCTGGTGGGACTTGACTGCCATCATAATCTAAATTAACAGCTTCAGTATAATCCACCCATCGATTTCGAGCTGAAATAATTACAATAAAATTGCTTTTAGAAAATACACTACTTTGTTTGCATTCTGACAGTTAAGTATATATTGTGTTTTATATACAATTTTATTTTCAATTATAAAATACGTATTTGCAGCATATAGTTGATTACAGTTATTCATACATTTTTTGAATATAAGCCACTAAAAATATATTTATAATTCCTTTTATTTTAAAAACTTCATAAATTTATCAATTTTTAAAAACAAATGATAAAAATATTAAATTCTTGAAGAAACAATATTTATTATTAAAATGTGTTGTCATGCAACTGGTAGTTTTCATAATTGGTGTGAAATTTTCAGAGATTGTTTTGCAGCAAAGATTATAATCAGAGAATTTCAACTTCTGTATAAGTTAGTAACTTATAATGGAATTCTATTTTCTATGTCAGTTGTACAGTGCTAATGGTATATTGACTGATAAAGCTGAATATGTATTTCTGATTGTAACATTTATTTAACTAAAATATTTTCTTCTAAATCATGTCTTTTATATACAGTTAATCAGATATAACCAGTAAGATGATAGGAATGTCTTTCTATAGCAAAAAATAAAAGAAAAAGTAGTTTATCAGATTTTAAAAACAAATTGTGTTAAATGGATAAAACAGTTCTTTATATAATTACTTTCTAAAATAAAGGGATTATTGAAATTCTAAATCAGTGTTATTAGAAATGAAGTTGCTCAGGCAAATAGTAAAATGTTAGCACTAACACTTCATAAACATATTTTTTAACATATTTAATCAATCCAACCTAATCAGAGGATATCTTAATAGTGAAACCAATATCCATTCTTTATAAACCAGAAAGCCAATAAAAGACAATGTTTAAAACACATATTAAGGTATTGAAAACCAAAATTTATAAAAGTCATGCTTGTAATGATAAAAGTCTAAAATGAATAATTAACAGTCACTTAAATAGTTTTTTTTAGAGATAGTTCATATTTCTTTTAAGTAAAAACACAATTATAGTGAATTTTAACCCTCTAAGTAGAATGATCCACTTTTACCTTGTCAGGAGACATGTCATCACTTTGTACACATTACGTTGTTGTTTAAAATATTTTGTCTTGTTAGTTTCTTTTGCAATTTTGATGCATGAAAGATTATAAAAACAGATTTAAATATATCTCTTCACAGGCAGATATAAAAAACCATACTACTCAAGAGAACTCTAAGCTTAATTTGATTTTAATAATAATTTTAATAAGTTTAATTTTTCACACTTTCAAATTTTCATATCATAAATTTAATAGAAGAAAATACTAGCACTTGGTATGTGTCAGGAGTATTCACATGAAAGGACCAGATGTTATGTGGCACTCATCAAGAAAAAAGAATGTTTGATCTTCTTAAATGTATTCCTGCTATATGCCATTCATACTCTAAAAATTTGCAAATTCATTAGCTCTCAAAACATCCGAAAAAATCATCACAAAAATGTTGAACACTGTTATTATTATTATTATTATTTTATGCTGAATGATATTTCAACAAGTTACTAAATATACAAACAACAATTTGAATTGAATATGTAATATGATTAGAAATGGTAATATTCATTAGATAATCATGTTTGATTGCATATTTTAATAATAAATAAATGGTTTGCCTCAGAAATATTAACAATTTTCAGACATATTTGTGATGTTGATTTTAATCGTAATTGATGGTAAAGTGACATCAGCTGTAGTTTCAGAGATGTTTTATGTAAGAAAAACTTACAGTTCAAAGTTAACCCATTAACTGCCAATTTTTTCCTCCCAATTTACATTTATTTCTAGGTGTTTAGATTGACATAGAGACTGGAAATTGGAATATAAATGGAATCTGACATAAGCCCCAAATGGGGATCCACATTCAAGTAGCCCTAACCAAAAAATAACATTCACATTTGCAATAAATAGTTAGTAAACATATTCTAAAAGCATTAGAGAACATGGCAGTACATAGGAGTTGGAAATGATGTACGTAATAATAATATGACATATCGCGTTTTGAAAATGTTGAAATCTTGAAACTCGCAGAAATTTTACTTCTTCTCACAAATAACACTCTTCAGCTCACCCACTTAAGAACTACTACTCAACAACTCCTGCAAAAGCTTGAGAAAGGTTTAAATAACAATGTAAAAAAGGAATCATTCTTGCCAACCTAATTAAAGTTACCAAATTTCTGCTACTATGACAAATCCCCAAATCGAGATCATGGCAGTTAATAGATTAATTCATTTAAAAAGTAAAAAGGACATCCTGAAAACTCCTAGTCGTGCAACTCTATACGTAAAATTTATTTTTAGTATTTACATTTGTTTAAAGTGCTATCTGCTCTGCCTATTCTTACTGCCATCACAGAAAGATTTTTTTCCCTCTTCCTTTCTTTTTTTTAAATCCTCAAATGGTTAAAGTTTGTTTAAGGAATACAATTTCTGAATTTTTTTACCATATAACAGATTATTAAGTGGAACCATATTACAGATTTTATTGAATGAATTGCTTTATTATTCATTTGCTGAAACAATGATAAATGATAACATAATTCTTTAAAAATTATTTTAATGCAACAAGAAGCTTTGATTTTATTTGATTAAGAGAAAGAATTGCTTAAATAGAAGAATCAGTAATTAAGCAAACAACTAATTTAATGTCATACACTCTTACTTTAGTAAATCATCATTCAATGATTTAAAAGTTTTTTAGTATTTTCAGTAATTTTAGCAAATTGTTTCAAAATTTACCTAGTAATTCAAAATACAATTTGTTTTAATGTTTTTTAACTTTTCAATAACATAATAATTATACAATTGCTTATGAATATTAAAAAATTATCTTATTTTTCTGCATTATAACATACTGTTTAATGTGTACATTAAACAGGTCTTTATGCAGTTTTATTCAAAACAAAAAGAATGGACGTTTTTATCTTCATGTGCCTTGCCCTGTCTCAGGTAAAAGATTACATGCAGTTCTGGAAATCATTCACTTTCAGTTCTCAATACTTAAGTAACTTTGTATGAAACTTTAATTTCACTTTGAACTTTGTACGAATGGAACATTAAAAAAATTCGAAGAAAAATATGCTAAACTGCATAGAACTTCAAATACGACACAGTTTTTCTTCCATTGTTGTTGTTGTTCAGTAACTAATTATGAGAAGTATCTGTAGCAGATTTAGAAATGTAGCCATCCTAGCAAAAAGATTCTGCTTGTCTAACTACTCCCAGAACACTCTGTTTCCATTTTGCCACTGTATATATTCAGTGAGGCAACATTAAACTTTGTGTAATATTTTTACTGTAATACCGTACATATTCATTAAATCTGACACATTTAAATCTTATTTTTTTATATGAACATTATTTTTTTTACTGTATTGCTTAATAACATTCATTACTTACCATAAAAATACATTTTATTTTCATAATACTTGTTTCCAAATTTGTCCACACCTACCAAGGTACCTATTTTGAGCTCATCTGTTCTGTTAAAAAAATAAATAAATAAATAAATAAAAATGTATATATAATGAAAGATGCATCTATTGATAGACTGTATAAAGCACATAAATATCTGGCTATAATTAAGAATTATGGGTACTATTCCATTTTGAGGGCTGTAAAAAATTTGCAGCGAAAATGTATGCGCAAAAGCACCAAATCTAACAAATGCGCCCATTTAACAGCGTGCTAAATCTATCGTACACGCTGACTTCAGATTGCGTAAGCTTACGTAGTTCTATATTTCTTAAGATGTCATTGAAATATTAGTTTAATTTTTAAATCCTTTTTTTGATTTTAAATCCTTTTTTAATATCCTATGGATTTAACAATTTGGGAATTGCCCATGACGAAAAGTCTGCAATAGAATTTTGGGTAAAGAGCAGAATCACCCCCTGCTTGATGCGTTTTTAAGAATTGCACATACTCGGTATCCATGTACACATCGACCTATTTTCACTTAAAAAAAAAATATCAGAATTGCACAAAAATGGCACTGCGCACAACCCTGACTTTATCTATGTACACTTTTACTTAAAAAGTAAAAGAAAATTGACAAAAATTCAATTATTTTTAGCCTTGTAAAAAGTGACAAACAAATAAGTGGGCGATTCTGTAATTTACCAAGAATTTTTTCAAAGAAAAGGCATCATTCATTATAGAAAATTATGTTTGAATAACCAATGAGATGAAATTATGCTGTAGCAATAACTCGGTAGCGAAATAGCGATGCAGGCATCCATTCAGTTATATTTAGCAATTTTTATAATAAATTATAATAATGATCTGAAAAGAGTTATTTATTCTTATGCTTCCATTCAGTCATGTTTAGCCTTTTTTATGTAAATTAGAATAATAAAGTATTATATGAAATTAACTTTTCATCTAAATTAAAACATCAATCTTAGATAGTTATTTACTATTACACTTCCTTTCTTGCATTAGGGTTGCCGCAATTATTTTTGGCAGCACTGGCATCAACAATAATTTGAAAATTTTTTTACGGCCCTCAAAACCAAATAGTACCGAATTATGGGCTACAATATATACATATATATATAACTACATTTACATTAAAAAATCACAATTAAGTATTTTTTTTCAAAAAATTAAGAAATTATTTTCAGAAATACAGTTTTTATTCTAAAACATTTCATAGCAAACACTATAAAGAATTTAAAAAAGTGGTGGTGGGGGGGTTGAACTGCTTGCTAAGTTAGTAACACTATAAAATTTTAGTCAATTTTAATACAGCTTTATATGTTTTGCTAAATATACCATATATTTTTTATATGCTAATCAGACTATCGCATCACATAACAGGTAACTTATATGAGTGAACAATTATTATTAGAATTATTGTAGGCCCATATTTAGTGCAAGCGAATTAAATATTAAAATTTGTCTTATAATACTTTATATTAACAAAATATTCATATTTTAATTTTAACATAATTCTGGCTTTTATAGCAGATGAATACAAAATGAATTAAATAATGCCAATTTTATTACTAGATCAGCAGATCTCTACAACAAAGCTACGAAATTTGTATTCACCCTAAGTAAAATATTTGTTGTGCACTCTGCAATATGGATGATAAATTTTGATAATTTTTCACCAGATATTTTAATCCGATTCTAATCCATATACTACAACTCTTAAAGTATTTGGTATGGAAACAAAATAGTATTTGATTTTGCAGATACCATAAATATAAATTTTGAAAGAAAGCAAATTAACATTCATATAAATTCATGAGATATAAAAAGAATACTTTAAGGAATATGGTACAACGCTCATATTATTTGCAAGTGCGTATGTAATGGAGTTGATCAACAGTCTTTTCCTGCTACAAGTTACATAAAAATGACTATAACTAATTAAAATATCCAAGCATTCCGATACTAACTGAGTAGAAATATTAAAAGAGTTTTGCATGTTTGCAGATGTGTAATATAAAAGAATATTAGGTACGACTATAAAAATTTTTAATCTGCTGTTTGTTTCACAAAAGATTCTTTTGATTTGAGTTAGTTTAAAATCTTATTTTCTTTCACAGTTCTTGATGCAGCACACCAGTGAGATGGCATCCATTATAGATTGAGTCAAGCTGCATAAAAATAAATAAATAATTATAAACCTCTTGTCTAAAGTGGCAAATACTGCCACATTTCTTTCAACTTAATATCAAGTTACAAGATCAGATACCTGAAAACATCCAATTTTATTCATTTGGTGATAATAAATATATAAAAACAATCTTTCTTTCACATATTATTAATAACGTCTAGATCAGTAAATAGGCATCCTAAATTGGTTATATGTTAGAAGATTTATGTGCACTGAAGAAATTGACAGAAAGCAATTTCAACTTTTCTTTTTGTCATTAAATTAAAAACCATAATAATTATGGTGAATGAAATAATTGGCTGATCTTTAGAATATGGTAACTGGTAGTTTGGTGACATTTTGGAGGTGATAAAGGTTACTACTTGGGACTTTGGTAATAATGTGAGCAGTACTCAGTTCCGATTACGCATTATTTTGTGGAGGGAAATGAGAGATCATGGGATAGTCATGTGATATTAATGGATGAATATGGTTCTTTAATCGGAAAAGGGGGGAAAATCGGGAAAAAAATCTGGAAATTATATATTTATTCTGTGTGTGTGAAACCAGTGTTCGTAATTTTGAACCCCATGGCCCTACTAAGTGAATTCGAAATGGGATTTAGTGGGATTGAAAGGGGTAGTAGTAATAAGTGTTTCTTTAAGGTTGTGCGAGATAGAAGTAAAGTGTTTTATTAAAGTATTTATTTACCTGGTACTTTGCTGGACTTAAGTATGATTTTAAAGCCTGAAACAGGCGCACAACGCTTGCTTTTTATTTAGCGGAGGAAATAAGAAAAGTTTATCGGACACGTAATCAAGATTCTGAAGAGAAGATTAGGTAAGTTAGTATTTTTAATTATTGAGGAATTATTTTTATGCATGGTTCTAAATGTAAGGTGGAAGTAAGTAATTGGTATTATTGGAAAATTGTTATTAGCAATGATTTAGTTTAAGTAATTAGGATTGTAAGCTATTTTTTAATTTAATGTATGACTTTATTTAATTTAAGTAGTGTTTGAATTAATTATATTTCAATTAATGATAGTATTGTGGAATTTAGTTTGTAGGAATTTGGTATACGTTTAGTGAAGTAAATGTGCATGGAAATAATTTAAATATTTGACACTAGATTTGTAATGCTTGCGGTATGAATTCGTTGGTACGTTTATAATATAATAGAGATTTAGAGGTAAAAGTTTTTGGATATTTTAAGTTATTTTATATGTGGAAATGTTCATATTGGAAAGGGTATATACTTTTTCGCGATCAGGTAATTTCATATATGTTCTTTTTACCGGGTTTAAAGATTCAGAAAATTGTCATGTATTTCGTGAAATTTTTCTAATTTATGTGAAAAAAGCAGTGTACATGGATATAGTGAAGAGTGGGCGCAATGCCTTTTTAGGTAATTCTGGGATGTTTTTTTAAGTAAAAATAATCGACGTGTACATGGTTTATGTGTAGTGGTTATTGTGAAAACACGTAAGGAGTATGGTATTGTGCACTTTTTCCAAATTTTGCAGTGAATATTTGTCATGGTTAAGCAGTTTTTAGAGAAAAATTTCAGCATAAGTGTAATTCGGCTAGTAGATTGTTGGAAGAAGTGTTCAGTAGATAAAAAGAAAAGAAACATGTCTTTAATTCGTGAAGACAAAATGGCGGCGGGAAAAAAAAATAGAGTGTTGCTGTAGGAGAGTTGGTCGCCAAATTTTTGCCAAAAAATCGCCAAGTTACCATAATCTAAAGATCAACCAAATAATTATCGATACTTGCATATTATTTAGTTGACCATGAAAGTTGGTGAACATCCCACCAAACTTGCAGAAATTTGTTTCTGCAGAATTCCGAAGAACTGATGTCTCTTTATTTAATATTCTTGATGTCTCTTTATTTAATATTCTAAAGAACTGATGTCTCTTTATTCCTACAGCAATAAATATTTGACCCACTTCTGGTTTTCATAAAAAGACCTTCATCAATTTTACTTTTGGCAGGTTTTACTAAAGGCTCTGTTTAGAATGCTGCACACCAAACATTCTACAGCTAATTGTTCCAATTTATTACTATTTTATTGGTTATGTTCAGTTGAGCATATTTTGTCCAATGCTCTTTTTTGATGGTGGGATCCAATACTTTTGAAAATAATCCACTGATTGTAGTTCTATAGATCAGGTCCCAAATTTTAATCATATTTTTTAACGGAAAAAAATACAGCAATAAAAGTTAACTTTTTCCATGTTCATTACATAAAAAAAAAAAAAAAAAAAAGTAACTTATCAAGAATCAATCAGAGGTACATCACATTTATCAAAAAATTGGCTTTAAATTATGGTGTTTCTCAACTGCTTTTTGACTAACAGGATAATATGTAAGTGCCTAAATATTAATCACATATTTAAAAGTGGATTTTTCATTTTAAACATTTTATAAGAAAATTAGGTTTTTTTTTTTTTTTTTTTTTTTTTTTCCTGATAATTTGCACTCCTGATGAAAACTCATGAAAAAGCATTCATGAATCAAAGCAGTATGTCACAAAATTAATTATGTGGCAATCCAAGTATGAACACAGCATGTCGGTAAAAATATATTAAAGAATGCCCCTTGGTGAAAATTGGCGACTGGCCTGCAAGGCACAATTTCAAGATAGCCCTACACAAAACCAAAATAACAAACAAGTCAAAGAATTACACAAATTCGGTGTCCATGTATACAATGATCTATTTTCACTGGAACTACTCTTATATGCGCCCTCAAGTTACGAAATGCGGCTACAAATTTCTCGCGAGACATTTTTGGCGAGGAACTCCACGGTGCAATTATTATCTAAACTTTTTGTCTATATTTCAGACTTTAAGCCTAAAATGTCTCCAAAAACGCAACTTTGCACATGGGGAAAAAAAAAACAAAAAAAAAAAAAAAAAACCACATTTTGGAAACAAAAACAAAAAATTTAGATAGCAAAAACATAAAGCTTCTAACCAAAAATATTTGACAAGAATTCATGTACACAGCGATATGTTTTAACTTAAAAAAACATCTACGAATTGCACAATCTAGACAAGGAACGAATCGACAAACTATGCGCACCTCGCTTTAATAAAATCAACATAACAACAAGAATTCAAGAATACCATGTACACAGCATCCTGTTAAACAAAAAAAAACATCTCGAATTGCACAATGTAGGCATTGCGCACAAATCAACAAGTTAAACTAAAATAACTAACATTACAAACAATTAAAAAATGACAATAACAGAAATTCATAGTAAAAACAATGAACATAACATTCTACAAAATAAAATACACTTACCATAATACATTCGTTAATAAACTTTCGCCAGTCACACAACGTCTGTGAACAAAAGTGCCACCACCATTTTGCTACATCACATGTCTTTCTGTGATTCAAAATTTCGAAAGTAACGATAGAAACTTCCTCCAAAATTAACTTACTACACGAAAACCACAATCCAAATCTTCAAATCCGCTGACAGCCATATACTTTACCAGCAAGCATTTGACTGCAAATCCATACAAGAACTATCAGAAATGCCCTTCTTCGTCCAAGTTCTCACAGCACCTCTGCATTTCGCACTCCGTTTTAAAAGTACCATAGAAATTCCAAAAATACACTTCGATTCTCATAAACAAAAGACTCGTTAACAACTCCAACATCGTACCATTTAATGCTAAATTTACTTTCCACACAATCTAAAATACACGACTGAAACCTTCCATCCACGTCTATCATGGCGACATAGGCCATTTCAAAACTGCACGACACTGCAGCTAAAGAGTTAAGTTTTAACATCAAAAGGGTTGTCATACAAACAGCATTGTCCACCAAACCATCCCACAGCACGGAATCGCGCCAAAAACCAGCACAGAACACACATATCACCACATTTGGTGATCTTAGGGCGCATATAAGAGTAGAGCCCAAAAAAATGTATTATCTCAATAAGCTGTATTTTAAATTAAACAATGAAATGACACAAAAAAGCACTACACACTACACAAAGAAATATCTACTTTCTTTAATTAGAAATTTCTGTGTCTTCAGTCTGTGGCATAAAAAATTCCTTAACAGCATCCAAAAATAATTTTCCTCAAACCATGTTCCCTTTCTAATGGAACACTATGGTGAGCATTTGAACTTTTCTTGCGATAAACCCATTCAAAGGCATCTAAACAATTTTTATGTTCAACCATACGCATTTCCTTCGTACAAACAGGATACTTATAATTCCATTGAATTGCATCCAACAAAGTTTCATCTCTTCTGTTCCTCAACCACTTCCCCCCCCCCCAAAAAAACCTTCTCTCTAGTTTTATATCACTTAACACTCAGTTTACCACCGGCAGCCATTTTATGGTGCAAAGCACACAATACACATACTTCCTATCTGATATTCAATGCAGAAATAAGCCCTTACAAATATCTTCCCATCAGTCAAATTCACCGCAATCATACAATAGGGTTTCCATAACATTCAACTACTCAGGTTACCATAAATGAAACAACTTGACAATAATCCAAGGGGCACCCTAAAATATAGGCTAACCTAACATGTCAGTTTTGGTTGTCACACAATGCCAAAGTTGCACGGATGCTAAGTTCCTGCAATTCTCTGATTTTTTTAAGCAAAAACATATCACTATGTACATGGAAAGAACAACAGTTGTAAAAAGGATTTTTCCTTTTCAAACAAAGGTGTTTTATTATTGACATTCTTTATATTTAAAATTTATTGATGTATTGCTGTTGTATGAAATTCTTAGTGTATCGCTATTTTGAAAATGGCTCTTGAATTTCATGCATTAGGTGGTGAATGTTGGGTATGCATCCAAGAATGCCTTCCGAAGTTGGCAACAATATTGTCAGTGCAAGATTTACATATAAGCTACAGCTTAGGGCCCTAACTTTCTTGGGAAGGAGGGCCCAAAATTAAAATATAATATAGCAGACTTATAAAGGGCCCCATGTCTCAAATAGCTTAGAGCCTTATCAAGTGTAAATCCGGCTCTGCACATTGCAGCTTGCCAGTGGAGGTGCAGATAATCAGAAAGTACCAAAAATTTTAATCAGGAAATAATTGAAATCCCTGCTCAATTTCTAAAATAATTATAAATAAAAATATATCTCACTTTTAAAATGTTTCATATTAATAAATACCTACCAAAATTACTATGAAATTTAATTTGCTTTTGCAATTTAAAAACATTCAACAAGTAACTATGTTGTATTTAAATTTCAAAGAAAAAACTAAAAAAGAAATCCTTGAAACAGATTTGTTCAAGGATTTTTAGTATTAAACAGTGTTATAATAATAATAAATACAGGAATCTTTAATAAGAATTAATTATTTCTCGTTTATTTCTACTGGGAAAGTTAGTTTGGCATATGTCCGAGGATCTGGAAAGGAATTCATGACGTATACTAATGTACTACTGTATTTTGCCTTCATCTACCTTAAAAACATGCAGTTTCCTCTTAAAATTCAAAAAGTCAAATTAAATTGGAATCAATTTTACTATTAATAAGTAGTGAAAAAAATTAAGATTACATAAATTTCTAACTAATTCAGATATTTAGGAATAACTAACATATTTCTAAATATATGGATTTTTATTAAATTAAGCAATTAATTAATTATCAGAAAACATTCAAACTTGTACTTAAATGAGTAAGTTTCACATTTTTCTTAATCATTTACCGTGTTCTTAAAATAATGTGCAACTAGACAGAAAAATACGCGTTTACCTATATAACTGCTGAATCGACCGTATAATACCACCATTATGCTTAATAATATCAAAAATTCGCTTCACTTTATCCAAACCTAAATACTTAGCCATATCTATCCTTAATTGATCAAAACATGAACTATGTAAACAAAGCAGACTTCTTTCACAGATGACCTACAGCACTAGTGTTGCCAAGAGTAATATTCGTTAAATTTATTTAAATGTTTAACGCATTAATTATACACTACCAAATTTTCTGCAGGCTTCTAGAAGAATTCTATTTCTTGAAGATGTTCTTGATGAGGCTTCAGGACACAGATTTCACCAAATATTATAAACAATAAATGGAATTAATAACGAAAAATTAGGAGTGGTCGAAAGATGCGGTGCCATCTATCACGTATCGTCCGTCATAAAAAATACTGAATTCTTCTGTGGAGAACAAGTCTTCAGTTAAAAAACATTTTTGTGAACTGCTATAATTACCAAATCAAAATTTTCATCCCTTAGTGATAGTGGCTTGTAAGGCTCCTATATTTAGCCTTAGATATTTAGGTTTAGAGGAGCCTTAGTGGCTTGTGCTCATACTTATTAGTTCTTGCGCCAGTTCTCCTTGCCTCCTTATATTTCTTTCTTCTCGGGCTAAAACACGCAAACTAAGATGCACCACACGTTGCTCCTATTTTGTTTACATTTTGCGTCGGTAGAAGCAGTAGGAAAGTGAAAAATGTATCAAATTTTGTTATCAGTTTTGGAGCAGCCGGTATTTGCCGTATTGAAATCAGAGTATAATTTGAATAGGTATTTGATAAATGATATATTTATGTGCATAGTTTCGCAGCATAGAGAATATTTGTGAAAGTTGTTTTGTAGGTTCTGTGAGTAGTAGTTTTGAGTTAGAGTTAAAAAAGAGGTTTTTTTTCCCCTCTCATTCAGGTTCTGAAGATTCTTTTTTAATGTAACATTACATTTTATGCGATGTATGGCAGTTAATATGACTTAATTTAAATGCCTTTTAATATGTAATTAAAGGAATTTTTATTTTATGAGGCCTATATTTTAATACATAGGTAAGGTATTTAGGCAATAAAGATATACTTTCAGAGCAATGAGGGGTACTCTTCTATTATGAGGACCGAATTCAGGTACGTGTGTAGAGATGTATGTGTTCATGTATGTATGTGTATATGTATGTATGTATGTGTGTGTATCCACACACGTATATACGCACATACATACATATACTCGTGCATACATACATACATACATACATTTCTGAATCTGGTCTTGATAACAGAAGAATACCAAGTGAGTATATTCCATCAGAGTACTATTAATTGTTAAACATATACAGTGTCTCAAAAAAGTGATGGGACACTTGTGCTTTACAAAAGAAAACTGCAATAAAATAAATGTAAAAAACATGCACAATTTTTTGTGGGTGTGTTTCATACTTAAATTTAGTAACAATTATTACATAACATACATTTTCTCTCAAAATATTAAAATATTAATTTAATAAAAATACAATTGTTTAGAACGGAGCAGAAAATGGCTCACTTAAGTGATGGGACACTTACTTTTCCATCAAATATTTATCCAAAAATTTTACTTTTAAAAAGGTTTTAATATTTTGTTGGATTTTCCTTTTACTTTTAAAACATGATTTAATCTTCTTGGGATGGATTCGACTAATTTTTTTGTGATTTCTGGAGTGATTTTACCCCCATTCTTCTTGAAGCACCGATTTTAATTGTTGTTTTGAAGAAATGTTTTTTTGCGAATTCTTGATTCCAATTCTTGCCAAATATTCTCTATGGGATTTAATTGTGGAGATTGTGGGGGTGTTTTTATTATTTCAGGACAGTTATACAGCAGCCAGAGTCTAACGTTCAAAGCACTGTGCTTGGGGTCATTGTCCTGGTAGAATTTAAAATCGTTATGAAGGTTCAATTTTCGTGCTGAAGATTTCAAATTTTGATTTAAAATGTCAATATACTTGTACTGATCCATTATACTGTCAATAAAAACAAGATTACCAACTCCAGCGGACGACATACACCCCCATACCATAACTCCTCCTCCACCATGTTTTACTGTTGGCACCAAGTTCTGTTTGCGAAATTCTTCCCTGGGTTTTCTCTACACCAAGATTCTAGCGTCAGAATCAAATATATTAAATTTACTCTCATCAGCAAATATAACTTCATTTCAGTAATCAGAATTCTTATTTATGTTGGATTTTGCGAAAGCCAGTCTGAGTTTTCTATTCTTTTCACTTACGAAGAATTTTTTCCTGGCTGCTCTACCGTGATATCCAGTAGATCGAATTACTCTTCTAATAGTCTCAGAATTAACAATTACTCCATATAATGCTTGTAAATCAGCAGCAACTTTAGGAGCACTCATTCTTGGATTTTTTTAAAATATTTCGAACGATAATTCGCTTTATTCCATTGGATAGCTTTGATGGTCGGCCAGGTCTTCTTTTATCCTGAATCATATGATTCTTTTTATATCGTTTAATGATATTGAAAACTGTTGAATGACTGAAGTTAACTGTTTCAGTAGTTTCTCTAATAGATTTTCCACGTTCAATATGCAAATTAATAACTAATTTTCGAATTCCAGGCAAAGTTTCTTTTCGTTTAGCATTCATGGCTGCACAGAGCTAAAAAACACAAAAATTCCAAAACAAACTGGAGAGAAATACTGCAGACGATTTTATAAATTATTGGCAATTGCTTTTGAGTAAAAATAAATACCCCAAAAGATATTTTTATTGCTTACTTCAGACGATTTTTGTTGCATAGTACGTAGTGTCCCATCACTTAAGTGAGCCATTTTCTGCTCCGTTCTAAACAATTGTATTTTTATTAAATTAATATTTTAATATTTTGAGAAAATGTATGTTATGTAATAATTGTTACTAAATTTAAGTATGAAACACACCCACAAAAAATTTTACATGTTTTTTAAAATTTATTTTATTGCAGTTTCCTTTTGTAAAGCACAAGTGTCCCATCACTTTTTTGAGACACTGTATAATAACATAAATTTGATCTTTAGAATATGAAGTATTTTGTTCTAAAAAATATTTGATCCTCTTATTCTTGTAAATGCCATGCTTAATTTCTCTAACTTGCAATTTGTGAGTTATGCGAATTCAAGTGCAACAGTGCAGAAACACGAGTGCAAGAGAACTTAAAATACTAAAATAAAAGACCCTTTTCCACTTCAGCAATTTTTGTAATTCTAATAATGAAGTATAATTAATCTTCTTTTTCTTTTTCTTTTTTTTTTAAATTTTATGTTATGACAAGTGAAATTTTGTTTTCTGCTTGGTTATCTTCCCTCCATATTGCACATTTGGTGTTTGTACATTTTCTTTCAGGATGGCTGATGTACCATTTTTGTTTTATATATCATATTTAATCTCAGTAAAGAGTGTATAACCTGATTTATTTATCACATGTGCAAATGAACCTATAGATAACTAGGAAATGTAGATAAACCAAAAATGGTGCTGTAAAACTGAAAATAATATATCGGATATCATAAAAATAAAGTATTCAGAAATTTGGAATTATTAAATTGAACATATACTGTGTTATAACCATGATTTAGTTATAATAATTATACATTTTATGCAGATTTTGATTTTCTTCTAGTAAAAATCTGCTGTATTTCTTTCTTTCTTTTTCTCCCTCCCCCTTCTCAGAGAGGAGAAATCGAGGTCGTACTGATATACCTACTGTCATCGAATTATGCTGATATACGTACAGGCACTGTTGTAAGTGGTGCACAAAGCTTCTGTGTCATTAAAATTTAACTTATATTGTTCACTCATTTAATCTAATAGCACTATAATGGCTGTATGTGCTATTTAATTTTTATCACTCATTTGCTAGCTGGTACTCACTGCATATGGAAAGTGTAATAGTAGTATAATCATCATTGTTCCTTCTTCTATTCATGTTTATGTGTTTTCATTCTCTTACATTGCAAGTTTAGCTCAACCCTTCTGCTAGCTGGTACTCACTCACTGCATATGAAAAGCCGTGTAATAGTATAATCCTAGTGTGATCATCATTGTTCCTTCTTCTATTCATCTTTATGTGTTTTCATTCTCTTACATTATGAGTTTATCTCAATGCAATTTTTGAGATTGCCTTTGTTCTGTAAAGGTTTTGGACTACAAGTGGCATGACTCCATCTGGGAAAGTTTTGATAGAAAATGCAATAAAAATGAGAAAAATCTGATTTTCTGTTAATTTTTAATGAGTGTAATAATTCATATCTGTCAATGTTTTGTAAAAATATCTGTTATTAAAAAAAATAATGCAGAAAATGCTAGCTGTGTATTAAGCATGTTACTGCAATAATCTCTCAGCTTGTTTAACATTTCTCTGTCACAAACACTTGATGTTATTAAACTTAAATATCTCATATTGTAAGAGATGAGTAGAACAAGTTTTGAAAGAATAAATGTAAAAAGAAAGAGTTACTTTAATTTAAGAAAATCAAACACTTCTTTTATCTTTTAACATGTTATCATATGTGTATTCTGTTAAAGAACCTCCAGACTTAGTATAGCTTGACTTCAAAGAGGTCCATTTCATTTCAGCATAGGCGATTCTACCAAGTACCTTATATCATTTGAGCTGTAACTTCCTATACATTTAGTGGGAGATTTGCTGGCTTTGACCAGTATTTATTTAAACATAATTCTGTTTTTAATTAAATATTGACCATTGAACTTACGTAGCTATTTTCCTGATTCTCTGCTGCCAGATAATTTGCTCATCTGAGATATATTTAGATTCTGCATTTTAGAATGAAATGATGGTTTGCTTGTTTTTAGAAGAAGTAAGAAGATAGGTTCTTTGCCAAAAATTCTAAAAAACGATTGGCCATAATTTTTAAATTTTGCGGTAGTTTGAGCATTTACATGGATGCTGAAATTTGGTTACTTTGCACTTCTATGTATGTGTTGTGGTTTAATCATAACTTGACTTTTTAACTCTTATTTACTTTCTAACTATGTATATAATTGCACAATTTCATGTATCTAAAACTGTAGATTTAACTGCAAAGAAACTACATATGTAACTGTACCTATATATCAGTTAGTAAGTAGTCCTTGATCATGCTCGCTTGCAGAGCATTCTTCTTGTAACCTCTTTTTGTTAAATGTAAAAGTTTTTATGTTGTGAAGGTGATGAGCAATTTAATTAATTTAGTGAATTACATCTCTTCTAGTATAACAAACATGTGTTATGACCCGGTACATTAGAATCATGTACTGGATTTAGCATAGTGGTGACCCTGACATGATTATGATGTAAAGGGTTTTCCCAAAGTTATTTGCATAATGCAAATGAAAAGGAATTAGGAGAAGCCTTTAGTGAAAATAGAGATATTAAGTTTATGGAAATTTCCATTATTAATATCTTGGAAGCACATTGGAATGACAAAGGCAAATGACCTACTTTGGGTCCCATAGATGATAGTCGGATACATGACTAATAGTGTAATAGGTGTTCACATAACATGTTCCTCATACTGGAAAGAAAGCAATTAACTAATTAAATCACTCATCATCTTTATGACATAACATTTATATTTAACAAAAAGAAGTTGCGACATTGCTTGCATCTGTATGTGAACACAATAGTATATAGATATGGTTTCTTTACAAAGTTATAGTTTAGGTACATGAAATAGTGAAGTTAAATAAACAAAGTAAATAAGAGTTCAAAAGTCCCACTATGGTTAAACAGCCACATACGTATAAAATTCCATTTTGAAAAAAAGTTATGCTATTTGTTCTTGTAACTCTCTGTATTCTGTATTTTTCAATGTGCAAGGTACATACACTGAAGTGACAAAAGTCATGGGATACCTCCTAATATTTTGTCGGTCCTCCTTTCGCCCGGCAAAGTGCAGCAACTCAACGTGGCATGGACTCAACAAATCGTTGGAAGTCCCCTGCAGGAATATTGAGCCATGCTGCCTTTATAGACGTCCATAATTGTAAACGTGTTGACGGTGCAGGGTTTTGGGTACGAACTGACTTCTCGATGATGTCCCATAAATGTTCGATGGGATTCATGTCGGGCGATCTAGGTGGCCAGATCATTCGCTGGAATTGTCCAAAATTTTCTTCTAACCAATCGCGAACATTTGTGACCTGGTGACATGGCGCATTGTCATCCATAAAAATCCCATCGTTATTTGAGTACATGAAGTCCATGAATGGCTGTAAGTGATCTCCAAGTAGAAGGTATCCATTTCCAGTCAATGATCGGTTTATTTGCACCAGAGGACCGAGTCCATGCCATGTAAAAACAGCCCAGATTATTATGGAACCACCACCAGCTTGAACAGTGCTTTGTTGACAACTTGGGTCCATGGCTCCGTGGGGTCTGCGCCACACTCGAGCCCTACCGTCAGCTCTTACCAACTGAAATCGTGACTCATCTGACTAAGCCACAGTTTTCCATTCGTTTAGGGACCAACCGATACGCTCACGAGGCCACGAGAGTCATTGCAAGCGATGTCGTGCTGTCAGTAAAGACACTCGAGTCGGTCTTCTGCTGGCATAGCCCAAGGAAGACAAATTTCGCCGTACTGTCCTATCGGATACGTCCCACATTGATTTTTGCGGTTATTTGACGCAATGTCGCTTGTCTGTGAACATTGACAACTCTACGCAGACGTCGCTGGTCTCGGTCATTAAGTGCAGGTGGTCACCCACTGCACTGTCCATGGTGGAATGTTATGCCTCAAATTAGATACTCTCTGCACACTCTTGACACTGTGGATTTGTTGAATGTTGTTGGATGTTGAATTCCCTAACGATATCCGAAATGGAACGACCCATGCGTCTAGCTCCAACTACCATTCCGTGTTCAAAGTCTGTTAATTCTCGTCGTGCGCCCATAATCACGTCAAAGCCTCTTCACATGAATAACTTGAACACAAATGAAAGCCCTGCCAAAGCACTTCGCGTTTATACATTTTCTATATGATACTACTGCCATCTGTATATTTGCATATTGCTATCCCATGACTTTTGTCACTACAGTGTATATGTGTAAAAAATGCTACTGCGAGATGTAACTCATTAGTCTACTCATAAATATTTTTTTAATGCATAAAGGTTCAATATTTATATTACTTGAATCTGAACAATTACTGAAAGGTACTGAAATAGCCATCCTTTTTACAGCTTTATTGCGTTTTTTTGCATTAACTGAATCAAGGTACTTAAATAATACAAGGTGCTATCTAAGTAGCCTTTACATAAGATTTTGGTGACATGTAAAATTTGCATAATAGATCAGGAGGTTATGTTTGCGAATTTTGGCAACCAAGCGTGACTGTCCTTTAATCTTCTTAGCATTATGGACATAAAAAGCTTTGGCCGTATGAAAGGGTGGCTTTCATATTCATTACACATGAAAACTTCTGCTAGCTTTTAATGTATCCAATTTCAATTTGGATGTATATTGAAGGAAAAAGAATCAAGGTATAAAGTGGTAGAGCTGTTTTTTGATAACTATCAAGAAAATACTATTTATTCTTGACATTTTGAGGAATTCTGAAATTTTTAGGGCTAAACCCGTAATGATTGGAGGGTTAAATGGAAGTACGTAATATAGATTACATTATATTTTTCTTTATTATAAGTAGTCATGTCTGTATTTTAACTATTCAAAAATCACCATAGTGATAATTGTGTTCTATATCTAAGAGATTTGTATTACACAATTCATAAGTCATTTGATTTTATTAAATTATGAAGACATTAACGTGTTTTGAATTTTTTAAGTACATTTAGTATGTAACAAATGTGATTACACATGTGTAAGAAAATTTGAAGTAAAACTGCTCGCATGTTGTGTCTTATCTGCATAATTTTGCATCTTAAAATTAGCATATTTATTGAAGAAAAGCCGAGTAATCTTCTGAATAGATGACAACAGAGTATTCTCCTGAATAGATTTTCTTTTGTACCATTATTCAATTTTTTAAAAATAAAATTACTTTTATTTAAAAAACAAATTATGTATCATGTACATACATAATCTTTGTTTCAACTATATGTTTATCCCAAAAGACAGTCAGTAAGCCTAATTGCATACGAGTTTTTGTTGTGGTGGAAATTTCGTAGTGATTGCTTTAATAAAGAATTGAATTCAAAGCATCTTTCCTTTAACGATTTTGAGGTAAAATAATGTATTCCTGCAGAAATTTCACCTGCCTTTCTTCTGCTATAAGAAAATCCTACAAGCATAAATTTTAAAATTGAGTTTTATGATAAAAATAAATCATAATTTTTCTGTAAAAGCTGTTTGAACTTGGAATACAACAAAATGCTTACGAAAATGGCGATGTTGAAAACTGAATATTTATCATGCGCATGGTTGCCTGAATAATTGTTATGTGCATGGTTACCAGAGTTGGGTGCATTCTGACAATTTCTACTAAAATGGTTGTGATGATACGAAAGCACCTTCATTTGAAGCACAGAGTAAAGGAAATGGACATTGAATCCACTCCAGATGATGGAAGAAGTCTGCCAGGAAGAATTTACAAAAAACTAAGACAGGATAAATATGTTTGGTTTAATTAATGGCAAATAATCATAAAATTTAAAAAAATCATTGAGCAAGGAAAATTGTGAACCTATTTTGGATAAATTCAGTATGGGAATTAGTTTAATCTTGTTACAAACATTTAATTGTTGATGTTTCTTTTTTTTTGCCTTTCAGATGACTTTTTTAAAAGATTGACACAGGATGTACGTAGAAGTTTTCATGTGGAAAATACTGTAGCAGTGATAAAGTTAGAAGGCTACATAAAGAATATTATGTGAAAAATAGTGGTAAGTCTTGTTCTGATTTATGTTGATAATGAAAAGGAATACATAAAAATATTTAACCTTAAATAGCATTAATTATTTATTACAGACCAAATTTTTTTATTTTCCTTATTTGATAGATTTCCGGCTTTGTGTATTGGCCATTATTATTATTATTATTATTTTTTATTGTATGTTAGATTCAAGACTTTGGATTTTTAAGAACTTTCAAGTCTTTTATCTATTTTGACTTTTGCTTTCTGGTATGCATCTCAAGTATTATTTTAATTCAGATAATTTTAATGAAAGAAAGTATTTGGAAATTAATATTTTAAATTTCTGAACTACTTTTTAGGCAAATAACATCTCGCATGATAAACATATTATATAATAAACTTTCTTGGGGAAAATAAAAAATGAGAAGAATCAAATGAAGAATTTATTAATTCATATAAAATAAAGAGGGTGCACTTTTAACTATTTATTTAGATACCTAGAATAATATATATTACAGAGCACTGGAATATTAACATAGTTCTATTTTTAAATGCATCCAAACAGTTGCTATTCACAAAGTACTAAATGTTAAATGTACCATTTACAAATTACTAAATACTAAATGCTACATCTTCTTTATTTTAAAGAGTTCAAAAGTTTTTATAAAGAGTCCAAAATCAGCCCAAATACCTCGCCGTCTTTCTAATCATTTTTCCACTTCTAGTTCTTTGCTCACTGTTCTTTGTATCTGAGTTAGCTGAATTTAGTAGTTCAGCTAGTTATGTTTTGATTTTTATGATATTTGCAGCAAACAATTTTAATTTTAAGATGATTCTCTTATTTACATGTAATGGAGGAATAATGGATAATTCTGCGTCTGTATCTATTAAAAAACTGGTAGTTGATTCTTTGCCGCTGATGAAAAAATGACAGTTCCACCCCTTGTCGCTCTGTCATCAATGAGAGAAGAGGGTCTTCTTTTCTAGATGTTTGTCTGTGATCCTGATGAGAAGTTATTTATTCTTTGCTGAATTTTTTTGTGATAGTAATAGATATCACTGGACTTGTTACCACTGTAATTCCCTATTTCTTGATTTGGATTGGGAATGATGATAAGGATAACTGCACCATTGTCTGGATAAAGTTGAAACTTAAAAGCTAATTTCAGTAATCTGTTTTTGTAAGCTTTCAGTCAGTTCCGTGTTTACCATTATGGATGAAGTAGCGGCTATGTAGGGGGTAATAGGATTTAATTCTCAAATCTTAATTTTTTTCTACAGATATCTGCCACATGTAGCTCATACTGAAGCACTACACAGAAAATATTAAAAAAAATTTAAAGTAAAAAAAGATACACATTCAAAATCCCTTGGTCCAATCAGCAACACAGAAGTCTAACACAAAACCACTCGTAAACTTGTCCATTTGCTGATACTAAATATGATGACATTTAAAAGACATTATGTTGCCTTTATCATTCCCAACTTGGATGTACCAGAAAAACTCATGTATTATAACCATCGCGCTTCCAAAACGTAGTGGTTATAATACATAATTTCACATAGTGTTTTACCATTTATATATTATACAGGCCTTAATCATTTAATTGACTTGCAAATACAACCATTTTCATGACTACAATAAAATTTGCTGATACAAAATTGCATGGCAATGCATTGCTTCTCCATGGAGTGATATTTTCTCTGTCAAGCACTATATGTAGAGTACATGTTTTTTGAGTGTTTGAAAAAGGTGGTAATATTGATCCTAGGCATGTATTTTCAGTTACAAAATTTCTTATAATAAAGTGAAGAAGTTTATAAAAAGATACTTATTTTGTTTCATAAAAAAAACTCTAACCATCAGTAGAAGGTTCCATAAAACAAAAATCGAACTTTTTACATATTCTTTAAAAAATAAAAATTTAAACTATTAAAATATTTACTAAGTTTTAGTTGGCCTAAAGCAAAAAATGACACATTTTTGTCGCCCAAAATTGGGAGCTGATTAAAGTGAATTTATTAATTTAGGTAATTTTTCCATTAAATTCAAAACTTCTGAGAATCTGAACTTTTATTATAAAAGTTGTTTTGTCAACTGATATTTCCATTTTGAATGAAATGGCATTTATTGGTAATTCACATCAAAGTAATGAAATGCAGATTGTGCAGCGGCACATTGATGCACATTTGATGATTGATGCTCAATTAACATAAAAGCACCAATTTTTCACGTTAAATTTCATTTGATCTAAGTTGATTTAATCTATTTTTGACATCTGTAGGAAGTTTCAGCCAGTAATTAATCAGTAAATATTTGTATTTAATTTTGTTTTACATCAACATATGGTGCATTACTCAGTTTAACCATAAAATTTTATGTTGATTGATTATTTAATGTTATTTTCCTCCTGCTTGAAAGTAATTTTATAAATTAAAGCATTTCTTCTTAGCTTGGGATTTTCTCAGTATAAAAGTGTAAGAAAATTACAAAATGAAATTTACCAAAGAACATAAACTTTAGAGTATCTCATTAAATATTAATATATTTTACATCAGAATCATATTATAAATATACTCGTTTACAAAATTAAGAGAATCTGTGCATGATGTTGAATTTCTGGAAAAACCAGTCGATAGATTTTAATGCAATTTAGAATTAATATATATTTATAACATAGAAAGAAATGTACCATTTTAAGTCGTTTTATGTACACATGATTATCAGTAAAGCACATAGTATAGGGATGTCGAAAATTCATGTTGTGACATCGAATTGAAAATGAGTCTAATGTGGGATATGGTCCCCTCTCAGAGCTACGCAGATCGTGCAGCATGATGGCGTACTGCATAGGAGGCAGTTGAGGAGTATCTGTGTAGTCAATCCCATTCCTGCAGAAAGGCAGTTTTTTAATGCCGGGATGATTCTTGGAGAGGGATAGCAAGATGAAATTACTCTCCCAATAGCGTCCCACACATGCTCTGTAGGATTAAGGTCAGGAGATATGGTTGGCCAATCCAAATAGCAAATATTCTCATTTTCCAGGTAATCTTTGAGCAGCTGAGCCTTATGTGGATGAAGGTTGTCACCCTTTATCAAAAACCCAGGATCATTTGTGCTCCAGGGGAGTCCAACATAGGGCTATAAGATCTCTCTATACCCCACAGCAATCAAGAACCTTTGTCAAACACATGCGGTGGTGTGCGACCATCCATCATAATGCCAGTCCAAGCCATTATCCCTCCATCACTGATCTTTTTCCGTGATGAGTAGGGATGGTATGATGTTCCAGACTGTCTCCAGATACAGGTATGCTGAGAATCGGTGTCCAGGTTGAATCTCAACTCATCTCTAAAAAGTACAGTCCTCTACTGAAGTCTGGTACAAAACACATGTTATCTGTGCCATGCTAAATGCACTTTCTTGTGTACTGCACTGAGCGAGACGCATGAGACCTTCAGGCAACTATAGATTGTGAAACTTGGGTTACAGTGGCAGCATACAGCTGAGTGAGAGCTGTGAAGCTGTTGCAGTCCTGTGTCACCATGCTCAAAGTGTCAAATAACACTCCTCATTTGTAATCGTGAATCTTGGTTGATCTTGCCAGGTTTCCTCCATGTGGATCCAGTGTCTGAAATTTCCACAAATAGCAGATGACACTGGGCATTACATTGAGCACTGTAGACGCATGTGCTTTGTAACAACCTACACTTGTGATTTGGCTTGGATGTGACAGTTCTCCATCTCATTCCATCATTCATATGTTTGTGTTATTTTACCTGATACATTATAGAATTTACCCAACTCTAGCAAGAAACATGGTGAATGTCATGAAGCAGTATGAGCACACAAATTGCTGGAAATTCCTTATATCTCCTCTACACTGACAGCTCCGCAGACAAACACATGTACACTTATGTATTTGAATTTGAATATCTGTATAATTCATAATTTATATTTTTAGTGTAATACATTCCATAAAAATATATGTAATTTGCAATTCCTCTAACTTTTGCACACGAGTGTAGTTGGGTAACCTGAGTCATGCATCAGAAAACAGATGTGAGTTAATTTCAAGTTCTTTTGAAATGGTGCTGCCATGCAGTTTGAAAACCTGCTGGAAATTCTTGGTTTATCATATTACGAGGAAGTTAATGACCTAAAACTGGAATAGTATATTACAGTACAACTGAAAAAATTGACAGTTTCACTTGCATATTTGTTGGATTTGCGCAATATGGGGTTCCACAAAATTTTTGTAAATATTATGGGATTCTGGGGGGTCGCGAAAAAATGCAATTGATAGAAAGGGGTTGCAACTGAAAAGAGTTTAAAAAACTCTGGTCTAAACCACAAAACAACCAATATACTTCCTAACCAACACACACACAAGCCTTTACGAATTTACCACAATCATGCAACTGATTATGTCATAATAGGGTTTCCATAACATTCAACTACTCGGGCTACCATAAATGAAACAACAACTTGGTGATAAATGAAACAACAACTTGGCGATAAATGAAACAACAACTCGGCGATAAATGAAACAACAATTTCACGATAATACAGGGGTATCCTTTTTTCTACTCTAACCAGCACTTGCACATATAAACTAAGTAATCAGTTTTTTTCAAAAAAGTTAGAATAGGAGGGAGGGTTCAACTCAAAAAGTGAATCCTCTGTCCCTTATTTCTCTGACCTCTAGGTCTCGTCAGAGTAAATTTTATTTTAAAAAAAATTTTGAAGTATGGGATATCATGTTGCATATGGATGCCAGAAATAGAATGTCTAAGATGATTCCTTGGATTACTTTTCATGGAATTTAGTAAATACGTTTTAAAATGTCACTGTGTCATGCATTTTCTATTCCAGGCAGGGGGGGGGGGAAAGAGAGGCTTCAATTATGTTAAACATGTTTTTCTGTTTCTAATAATATCAGTGTGCAATGATATATGCTAGAATTTAAACTGTGCTATTTGAACCCTTTAAAGAGTTTGTCGACAAACTTCATGACAAGTTAGAAA